ATTTTGTTTTCCAGTTCCTAGTATCAGTGATTAGTTTGTTTACTCATTCAAAAATTTTTACCTCGTATAGATTAATAGACAATGCTGAAGTAATCAAAGAGTTGATATATCAGATGTCTTTTTTCCATATATCCTCACTAGAAAGCATGCCACCAGAATCATTCATACTTGAAAGTGTTTTATGGGAGTAGCTACACACTGCTGCTCTTAATTTCGGGAAGTTAGTTCCTTGTAAGTTTATTTGTCCCATTTGCAATGGGTTTGTGACGGCGTATTCTGTGGTTTTTGTAATGTCAGAGTATTTGTATGTATTGTAGTCAGGGTTTTGACAACAGGCATTAACTGTAAGACTTTGATGTAGGCACCTTGTGCAAACTGAATAAGAAAATGTTTGAGGAGACAATAATAACAGTTAGGGTTTTTTGTTTAGAACTGATTCTTGGCTGAAAATGTGGTGTGATCAGTGAGAATAAGATGGAATTTTACCACTTATTCATTTATCATAATTTAGCTGTAAGTGTTCTCCTTGTATTTCTGAAGAAAGTTTTTTCAAAAAATGCATGACTTGTCTACTATCCAGGGAAGTAAACCTGTTTTTCATGATATTCATATTACTTAAACTTGTATACAAAATTATTGTATTAAAAATTGAATGTTCTGTGTATTTCTTACACTTCTGAACTTCTGTTTTGACACTCTCATTTCCAGGTTGTCTCCCTTCAGAGTATCCATGTTGTCCACACAGCTCAGTTGTGTAAGACTAGAAGTTACTTTTACTGGAAACTCAGAATTAAAGTAATTAGGAAACTAAGATGGTTCTGTTCAGGCTATTAATATGGTTTCTCAGTGTTTAAGCTGCTTAATTCTGTAATTATTAGTTGTTAGGTAAAGTTCTCAAAATCTTGTTTATGTTCCATGTGACTGATTTTTATCTTTATTGATATTCAGTATCCCCTCCAGTCTGTCTTTTGAAATATATTACTTGGTTTTTTTTGTAATAACAAATTATCAGACCTACTGTGTTTTTGGTAGTGCACAGCTTGACTACCCAAGTGATTTTTTTTTCACATTCATAATTGTGGCTTACAGTGTAGTGCTTTTTGAATCACTGTGTTGACTTTCTCAAACAGTACAGCAAAATTGGGCTGATTATTTCCTCAGGTTATAAGGGAGTGGGGTGGTAGCAATCTCGTTTTTATCCAGTTCTACCTTCTTAGTCAGATTTACCTCTTCCAAGAGTTCATTCCTTTTGGTTTCTTTTTTTCTTTTTGCCCTTCTATTCCTTCATTCTGGGGTTGGAATGACTAATTTCTGAATTTTATGATTGAGAAAATAAATTATACTTTCATTTTATTAGTATTGGAAAATAATTTTTAAAATTGTGCATCTGCACTAACATTCCTCACTGTGCTATATGAAGAGTGGTTGGGAAAGTCTTTGCTTTTGTTCTCAGAATTTTATTTTTCCAGTTCTGGTTGTTCTAGTAACAGCTGAGAAAAGTGTTAGAGGGTATGTTGCAAGGTCTCAGTAAAATGAGCAGGCTTGGATTTATTCTGACATGGAACTACTATGTGTCCTAGCATTTGAGCATTTTAGGAACCTCAGCCATCTGGCCATCGCTAAGAAATACTGGAATTTTTACTTCATGAATAATTCTTTGCTATGGAGACCATCTACAAAGATAGGAAATCTCAAGAAGTCCTTGCTATGCTAGTGTTAGAAATGCTACAGGGAAGAATTAAATAAGAGGTAAATAGAGGCATCCTATAAAATACTCATTCAATTCTTATGATTACGCTTGCTGGTATGGCTCCTTTTTTCAGTATTAGTTGCCAAATGTCCTAAAAACATGGAAAACCAAGAAACTGTCCACAGCTGTTTTAAATTTAAAGGTTTAATTGTGCCATATAATCTTCATTTCAACTGTACAAATTTATGCTAGTCTCTAAAACATTGCTGTGAAAATGATTGTTTTCTCTTGGGTGTAATCTTAGGATTTTTAAATTAACTCAATAAATGAGAAAACATTTTCAGCATGTGTTCATGTCTCACAGTAGTCCTTTATTAAAGCTTCCCAGAATGGGCAAGAATTAATTTTCATGTAATTCTTGAGGTTAAAATGCCATATTTATACTCTTTATATTTTGGTTTATCTACATTTGTATCCTGTGATCTATGCTTAAATATTATTCTTGCATATTGAAGAGATTAGATTTTAAATTAATGTGTGATTTTTACAAATGGCATGTTAAACTTTAGGAAAATGAATGTGAGGTAGTAGAATGTGAGCATTATTTCTTTTTCAAATTTAAATAAATTGTGGCATTAGACACATTTGAGGACACAAGTTTACTGTGCAAGTACCTTTTACTTATTAGTATAATAATGAATGGTGGTACTGAGCTTAACATACAGAGTTCAACTGTGCAATTTTTAGCCTAACTCCAAAACTTGTGGCAAATACTGCTTCTGCTGTTTTGCCTGAGTTATCAGTTATGGTCTAATATGAAGGGTTAAATAGCTGCTAGCATTCATCAGCAACCATGAAAACATTTCTCCTTGTGCACAGCAGTAAAACATTCAATATCTGTAACCCTCTGCCAAAGAAAGGTAAAATGTGGCAAAGGACATCTCATTTGTCTTTTTCTAAAGTTTGCTAGCTTGCATTTCTGACCAGCTGATTAGAGGGAAAATGCACTCAGTGGAGAGTCAGCCTTGCTTTTCTTCCTTTGGAAAACAGTTTCTGTTTATAAAAGGGGGTTTTGGGGGGTGTCTGATAGGCAGTGGTAACTGATAGGCAATATTTTTGCTTAGGTTTTTTCATAAACTACTTCCAAGAACAAAGGTGGTGACATGGTTAATGATGACAGTCTTTGAAATTCTTCAGCAGTACAATAGGAAGGATCTGTTCTGAGTTGTATAGAGGTGAGAAAGATAATATGAATCTGAATTCAGGGAAAAACCTTTGTCCAAAGCTCACCCAGGAAAACAGAAGCTGAAGACATTTTACTTTCAGAAGAGAGTAGATTTTTCAGATCAAGGTTAAGTTTCTATGACTGTCAACTCTTGTAAGTCAAATATCGTAATTTTTTTTTTTAGATAGTGACATGGGAACTTCTAAAATGTTCATTTGTTGTTTTTATGATTCCATATGTATTTCTTGCTTGATTATTTCACTGTATACATAAATGGTGTCTGGTTTTGATCTATCTTCTCTAGTTCCCTAATGTTTAGGCACTATTTTGATTTCAGAGTTCAAGTAGACTGAATCTTTATTTGCTATGTTCTACTTGCTGTTTTCTACAGCCTTCAGGAAAGATTTACTGTAAAGCTTTTGGAACTGATTAGTAGGTCAAACATAGCCGTCGTAAGATTTCAGTAGCCTATTGTACAGTAATGTGATTTAGGCATTCAATAAAGTAGGCATGATCTCTATAGCTTTTTTTTTTTTTTTTTTTTTTGCTTTGTCTTATTACCTGTAGGTGAATCAGTCATAGTTTTTGTTGATATAACAGCTAAAATACTAATAATTTATATAGTAGAACAATACAGTAGTTCTTTAGGCGAAAGTTGCATGGCATAAGGGCATAACTTCAAATGTTAGCTCTTTAGTATGCACTGAATTTGGAAACAACATGGGCAAAAAATCCTTGGGCAATGTGGAGAGTTACATTGTGTGAAACTGTTGTTTTGATAATGACTTGATCACAAGCACCTGTTTTTGTATAATGTAACTTTTGTTGTGCAGAATTTTATAATTATGATCTAAAAATGTTGGTGCAAAAACAGGCCTTGTATTTTAACTTTTTAAGTAGTTAGAGATATGTTCTTTTACTTAGCCATTAGTTTATCTGAAGGTACACCCACTCTTAAACTGTTGCGGTTCATGCTTCTTTAAACCAAACTATCAGTAAATCTCCCCATGTTCCCTCAGCCCCCCATATCAGTAGTAGCAAACTGGTGTGTTAGATTTAGTAGAAGGCATAAAACAAAGCAAGATGAACTTGTTTAAAATGTGTCCAGTGTCCTTGGTGGGCTTTCAGTCAACTGTGCAGGAGCAGACATCCTGATTTCAGGCTATAGTCTGTCAGTCTCATGCTCTTAATGACATTTGTTTTAGTACTACTTACTACTTCCTGTAGTAAGTTGCAATGTGCAATTTTCCCAAGACCTTGAAATATTCTTGTTCACTCTAGGGGGAGGCATGTTGTAAAGTGGTAGAGCCATATTTTTATTAGTAAGGGTAGGATTTTGCCATTAATGTTTAACAATGTGGTTTGATAAAGGTATATTAATTTAACTGTGAGTGCTCTTGTTAAAGTGCATGATGAAAATCATCCTCAGCATTGTTTGTTAAAAAGGGATAATTTTAATAGCAGCTGTTTATTTGCAATAGACTAATTTAATTTTCCATGTTAAATTTGTTCTGTGAACTCATGTAGTACTTGCTAATTGGTGGGAGATTATCTGCCTACACACAGTATGAAAAAGGAGCTTCACTGTAGCATCTTTTAACTTTTTGTTACAGGATAGCTTTTTTTTTTTCAATTAATATTTTGATCCTGTCTATATTCTGCTATTTTTCCAGCACATGTGCAAATACAGTCTCTAGTATCAAGTAACAGTTGCCTTATTCAGAGGAATATAAGAAAACTGTAGTGTTAAAATGAAAAGCATCTCAAATTTGAAAAGGTATCCTTCCTGCATTGGGATTTTAGTTAGAGTGCTGTCAATAATACTGAATTATTATATGAGAAGTGCATATAGATTTACTGAATTTTTTTAAAAAAACTCATGGAGTCTATTTTTCCCATCTGAGATGAGACAAATTCTTAGTCTATATTTAGAGGAAAGCTATATTTTAAAAAGGATAATAGGTCACGTCTTATGGTTTTTGTGTGCCCAAAGAACATTTAAAAACTTTTACTTCTGAAAAAAGTTGTCTGTGACTTTTTTTTACTGTTGCATAATCATTGGTGTTGTTGGTTTTGCTTTTCAAGGTACCCAGAAAATGGCATAATAGAAATGGACACAGTTAATCTTCGACCCCGAGCAAGAACCATTCTGAAGTGGAGTGAGCTAAAAGTGGGTGATGTGGTGATGGTTAACTACAATGTTGAGACACCAGAAGAAAGAGGATTTTGGTTTGATGCAGAAATTACCTCTTTGAGAGAAATCTCAAGGACTAACAAAGAGGTTCATGCTAAAATTCTGCTGGGGTAAGATTTGCTTGACGAACTCAGAAAATCTGTACATATCATATGAAGTGTATTTGGTTTAGTTTTTTTTATCTTCTAGTCACCACTAGATTAATTTTAATGTTGTACTTTGATTCCACGGCTATGGGAATTACAAAATTACAGTGCATGGTTTTTACAATCTGCAGACTTAACTGTAAGTCAGAATTTTTATTTTTCAGGAGATTGCCAGAGGCAACCATAAGGTTTTTTATGTATTATGTATGATTCAGATTGATCAGAGCATGTTCCAGTAATTTTTTAGATAATTGGGAACTCCTAGGTCTCACTGAGTATGAGTCATCTCTGACAGTTTGAATAAGTCTGTGAGCTGGCTAAATAAAATTTTAAAGAATAAAATATTTATGTAGTATTATGACCTCTGGTAAGTAAAGTGTGGACTTGTGACTAAGATTACCTGAATATCTTTGCTTAGTTTTACTATTTCGTGTTAAAACTTCCGTACAGTTCTTTGTGGGATAGTGTTTTCTGGAGGTACCTTAAGATATTGCTGTCAGTAACTTGTGTTGTTGCCTTCTTAGGGATGAACAGATGACCAGTGGTTGATTTAATGTTGGCATGTCCCACATTTACTTATGAGTGTTATCATTCTTCTGGGAATGTATTCTTGAAAATGAATTGGACTACTAGCATTCCTTGTAGTTTTTTTTACAAGGAGAATGTTGTATCAGTAGGAAGACTTAGTGTGGGACATGGTTACTTGGGAGAGACACGCAGGAGCTCTGTGAATCTGGTCTAATTCAGTATTTTGTTAAAAGTGCAATCTTATCTAGTACTGGGAAATAGCAAAGACATTGCTTCAGTAAAGCATGCAAGTAAATGAAAGTCTGTTTTGGGGGTGGGTTTTAATTGTAGCATTATAGTAGTTTCCTAGACACCATCAGTGCATTATAGTAATCTTTTATTAAGTAGAGCAGGCACAATGGACTTGTTTTGTAGGCAAAGCAAGAAACCCCCAAACTTGAAATACAAAGCTAGAAAAAAATGAGAAGATGTTTTGAATTATTAACTTGAAAGAGAGAAGAGATTAGGAAATGGAGGACAGTATCAATGGAGAGATGCGGATTTTCATTGTAGTGCATTTAATGCTAATGGCATTTGGTGAGTCAGGGATGGGTTTTATGGCCTTCTACAAATAGAACTGTCCAGAGTAGAGTTTACATGAAATTCAAATGTCTGTTGATAATGTTCTTTGAAACTGTTGCCTGCATGGATTCTTTCAGAGTTTTCCCCATCTGTTAAAAATAGGATAATCAAAATAATGTTTTTGTCTTGGTTTGAAAAGACAGGTGTCTGCTAAGGAAGGCAGGAGCCTCCCTGAAATGCAAAATGTAAACACCCTCCTCTGAATTATTATAATTTTGAAATTAAAAGGCTCTCAGACAAAGATATGGGAATACAGTTCTTTACTGGAAAAACTAGAAATTCACATGTAATAGTACAAAAAAACCCCAAACTACTGGCAGAGTCAACATATGATCTGACACCCTGTTGGTCAGGGTGTTGGTAGCAGTCCCATTAAATGGTGGCTGCAGTCCTCCTGCAGTGACAGGTGTGGTTCTGTTGAAGCAGTGATCCTGTGGAAGGGTGCAGTTTTCCTCTGAAGGTCCAGTGGTGGTGTAGGTGGGCCTGGTCTTCCTCTGGGAATCCAGTGGAGAAGACAGCTATGTCTCTGGGAATCCAGTGGGAAAGGCTGCCTGTGGTGTTCCAAATGTCAGATTATATCCAGGTAGGAGTGCTTGGCTCCTCCCCTGGGGCAGAGCATCTCACAATGGGATGGTGTAATTTTATCAGTCATGCAGTGGCACTCAATGGCACCTTAACAGAAGATAACTCCCTGAGGGAGGATTGGTTGTGGAAGAGATAAAGAAAACTGGCCCACATGGTTTTAACAGGTGGCCCAATTAACAGAAGATAACTGCCCCACCTTTAACAGATAGAAATAGAATACCCCTATTTCCAACCTAAGACAGTTTTATATTGGCAAAAGGAAGCACCTCATGGCTAATAAAAAATTCTGGTTGGAACTCTATAGGGTAGTCTTTTCTATATCTAAATAAACTGATAGTTGTGCTTCAAACTAGAAGATGATAAATTCAAGTACTGTCAGTACTGTGGCTGGTACAATAGGGTTCCCCCTGATACTTACACTTACTATCTTCTGAAAGGAGTTGGGAGGAAAACAACACAGTGGACAAATACCTATTATAAGGTGATGAATTTAAGTCAATTTTCCAGATGGAATCATATTTCAGAGAATTTTCTTCCTAATTAAGAACTCTGGTTTCCTATATATGTTGATAGATTGTATATGCAGTAATCAACTTATTGCACAAAGTAAAGTTAACCGAGCCCTGACATTCCTTAAATTTATCAAAGAATAATTCTGGATCACCTGTACTACCCAACTCATTCCTCTCAATTAGTAGTAAAAGAAGAAGACAAGTCTCCTTGTATTCATAAATTTGTGTAAGGAGCATGCAAAAGTAATTGCTTTGAATTTCAGGCAAGTTGATTTGCAAATTAAAAAACAACCTCAGTATTTCATTGTTAATATATAAATAATATAAAATATATTTAGTTTAGAATTATAATGCAGTAGTTATTTTAATCTATAATAATATAATTAATATATTTATAGTCTATAATATTCTTATGTGATTATGAGTTCTTAACATTATGTTAGCATTAACTATCTGTCTCAAATAAAGGTGACATTTATTTTTAATTTTTTATGATTATCCATTAATGATTAATTGATTATATGCTAATGACTAGTTTTTCATGTACTACATAAGAATAACCTTAGCAAGTAGTAAAGGGAGGCAGGGGTCTTAGGGTTGCATCACATATATTAATGACTTTTTTCCTTTGTGGTATTATATCAAAGAGACTTTTTATAAAAAAAATTTTATGCCATATTTGAAAGTTTGATTTATTGATCTTGTATTTTTGACAAAGATTTCCTGAAGCTGATGGCACAATCACAGGAAATAACAAGAATATACTGTTTGTGGTCATGCTTTGAAGCTAGTAGAACATATGATGAATACATTTTTTTTGACTTTTGACATGTGTATTGTTCGGTGTTACTGTTACTCATATCTTAGTCATAACCAAAAGGAAAATTTCTATACAGTCTGTCATCATTAGCTCATCATTTGGAAAATATATATGAAATAGTGAATTTTACCAAGTAGAGGATGAGACTGAATAGGGGAGGCAAACATCATTATGCAGAATAATTGACCACTTATTATTAATTTTCATTTCTATAGTATTCACATTGCAGCTGAAATTTGTAATTGTAGGATGTCTAAAACATATAGAACAGGATTTTCTGTGTCTCAGATGCAGATACTGGGGAAATAGCAGTGCTTTGGCTGTGGAATAGAACTTAAGGTTTCTCATGACTGTGTGCATGCTTGCAGTTCAGGATCTCTGAATGTGAGTTTCTTACTTTGAAGTGTCTGTGGTCCTCTGAATTTATTTTAACTAGCAAGGTGCTCCATCTCTGGGTTTAGATATCCTCTGTTTTTCCCTTAGGGGAGAGTGTTTTATTTCCTAATGACAACAATTGTTTGTAGTCTACAATAATATGACATGTTGTCTTTGAGACTAACTTTTCACAATTTACCTTGGAGCCAGCAGATATATTTAAATTCAACATACCAACTCAAACCAAAGTAGATGCTCTGCATTTACTCCTTCCTAGAATTGAAGATAGAGACCAAATTAGATCTTAGTTTTCCTCAGTAAACCCTTGAAAGTCTGAGTTTAGCAAGGACTCTGTCAATATCAAGACTTTTTTTTTGCTTAAGCCTTAGGAGGTGTGTAAGGATGTTGATATAAATTATACAAAGTGAACATAATTTTCTTCTTTGGATGAGTGAATGTTTAATGAATTTCATGTCTTCACATATATAGCTGTAAAGGAATGTAATAGAATGGTCCTAAATTTTCATGTTCATATTTATCATCTTTTGTTCTGCAGGTTTTTGTATGAGCATTCCTGCTGCCAAAAAGGAATTTTTTTGCAGATTACTTTCTCTTAATTTGTAATATTTTTATTTTTCTTGTAACATTCCAGATCTGCTGTTTGTCTTCCTCTTTTTATTTTCATAGTGTGCTTTCATATTTATCATCTTACTGCTCCTTTTATTCCTATCTAGCATGTTTTAGTCTCAGAATGCAATATGATATTTTAAAATTATTTTTATGCTACCTGTACAGATTATACTTTTAACTTTTCCCTTTACTTCCTTTGGACAAGATTTTCCATTTATATTTAATGTCTGATTTTTTAAAAATCATACATTTATTTGTTTACACAGCTTTGCAAAGGCACAGAAATGAAACACTTTACAGAATAATGAGGTTTTCTGTAATAGTGAAAGGAGCTGTGCATGGGGTTTTTTTGTTTATAATTTGAAGAATTCTTGTGCCTCTGTCAATTTCTATCTAGCTAAAAAGAAAGTTATTGATAGTTGTATCTTGTTTTGGCACTTTGGTAAATAACAGTACCATACTTCCTATCACTCTCAGTAAATATTGTGGTAATCATCATGTTAGAGTTGTTGTTATGATTTGGTAGATGCCCAGTAGTACAGTTCTCATAGTGCTTTTTCTTTAGGTCTGGAATTTTCATTAATGTGGTTTATACCTTACTAATGTTTGCATAATTTTCTACCTAAAGTAACATCCTGGTTTATTTATTTTATTGTAGTGTCTTTGACTGTTGCTAGTTGATCTGGGAGGACATTGTTTTGATGCTGTGTGAAATAATAACAGTATTTACTTGGACCCATTTTCCCAGATAACTTTCATGCTGTATCTGCAAGTATCCTAGTAATAAGAATTTTAATTGCTGAAGACCTTACCTACAGCTTTTTTGCACAGATGTAAAAGTGGCATATTTCTTCTAAAACTAGTAAAAAGGTGAATTTAGATCTCTCACTTTC